GCATTGTGCTTGAATATCATCATGATTCTCCTCACTTATATAAATTATCAAGGCAAATACACTCTACTCTGCGGGACCAGTTATAGGATTGGCATCTCGATCTACCACACTATTTCCAAAATAGCGTATACTTCAATTTCCGTGTTGATTCTTGCCTTTATTCCTGAATGAAAACAACATACCATACGATCTATTATGTTTAATGGGAAAAAGTTAAAAGATACTAATTATGTAGATAAAAGAGGGTAACATTCAAATTGAAAATTCCAAATTATCCAGCATTAAATAGACATTTGGAGTAATATCTTTTGACTACACAAGATACTCTATACTCTCTATTGGTCATCATTGTACTGTATCTTTACACAATCCTTCCCTAAATTCAATATCATGCACTTTTCATTCTAGTAAAGTTGATTAATGATACTATGGATCAATTTAATTGCCGCATATACATATCATGTTTCACCTTTGTTGCTTTAACTGGCTAAATTTCCAACGTGCTTAAATCATATGATTGGGTCAATACCTACCAATGATAGAGTCTATCGAAGCAAAAGTATACATTTTACTCGTTTTGAAACATCGCTCAAAGTTCGATCATTATCGGATAATAAATTCAATGTGAAATTAAATCGTTCTAGTGATCATGCCTTTCTTGTAGAGGACTACCAATAGAATACAATCAAGCACTCCTCCGTTGATGTAGGCTAAAACATAGACGGCATGAATGTGTCATGTATTGCCAAAATCATAGTAAAATCTGACTTTATAATTTTGCTTTACTAATAGCTAGTAAATACCGATAGACCGAAATTTTTAAATTTAATAATTCATGATTTATAGCCTAAGTGTTATAAGCTTATTCCTATCCATGATTGCTACAATATTTGTAGGCAAAGTCTTCAAAATACATCGGCAACGGAAATGATTGTTTTGATAGGAACATATCGTCATGATGATCAGTATACTGTACATGTGTTCTGCCTTATTTACCTCCCAAGACATTTATTCCATTCCCTTTTTAATTTATTTCATGTACAAGTATGAGGAAGGCCTTCAAGCATACTTCACTTCCAATTATCTTCTAATATTGAATTGAATCCAATTCCGGTAGTACCTTATGAAGCTCGTTTTTATAACGAAACATGAAATCAAATGGAATGTAATCCCCTATCTTAATCTACTATATTTTATATCACCTAAACTATGATATTCCAGTTTTAAATCCACTACCAATCAAATTATCTTCAATGGTGCTAATTTATTACGTATTTCTCGCTCTTAGTTCAAAAAATTTTGACCAAACATTGATCCATTTCATCAAACTTGGTTGGTAAAGTTATTCCAACGACCTTTCCATCAACTTGTTCCAAATCGCATTTATACTGCTAATATGGAGTTAACTTCTACTTCCAATGGTTCCGAATCTCAAACTTCTAGCCGTACACCTGGCCATACTTCAACAAAGCGCATTGTATATGAGTGTGCTTTAGTTATTGCTTTGGCGATCAATGTAGTGCTTTGTGGCCTCTTAGCTTTGTTTATACCGATGGTAGCTTTACATACAAATGGAATCATATTTGCTGGCCATTGCTTCTGGATCGGAATACCGGTAAGTTTTATGTACTTATCTATATTTTCTCTTCAAATTATAACCAATTGATATCATTATTATGGTCATATGTTTAGAGTGCATAATATAACTTCTATCCCTACCGATTACCATGAAACTTGCCATCTCAAGTTCATAGAAAATATTCTCTATTTCTATTTTGATTAAATTGGTTAAAAATTGACATACCAAATCTACTATACTATAGAATGAATTTAAAAGGGTCATAAATGGTTTCATTGTAAAAGAGGATTAAAAATTTGTGTTATTTTACCTAATATTCTATTGAAAGTTCATAGGAAATGTTCTCTATTTTTATTTTGCTTAAATTGGTTGAAAATTGACATACCAAATCTACTATACTATAGAATGAATCTAAAGGTGTCATGAATAGTTTCATTGTAAAAGAGGATTAAAAATTTGTGTTATTTTACCCAATATTCTATTGAAAATGCTGTCATTAATATACAAAATAGTTGTTTTAATGACGCAGTTATCCTTACAACAGAATAGAAAGTTTTATTCGACAAAGCTATTCGTTACAATATAGATTGGACTTTAAACCCTTTTATAGGAATGATGGCACCACTAGAACCAAGTGGAATGCCATCATTCTATCTCTGCTATTTGAAATCAATTAGAAATCCACTTGATAATTGAATAAATTGCATACCAGATACAATTAGAGGTATCTCTTCGCAATGAAAGCATACCTTGAAAATTCTATTGATTCTAAGAATCAATAGATAATGCTGTGCCAACAAAAAAAGATGCCTGGCAGTAAATTTTTACTGCTATTCAATCTCAGAAAATGGTATAAATGATATAACGGACTTATTTACAGAATGCTAGGCTCGTCTATTTACGACTGCATCCCGCAGGGATTAATCGAAGAAATAAAATACTTGCAGCCTTGTATTATTACGTAAGCGTAGCGCTGACATTTAGCTACAAATGAATTCATAAAATTATTCTCCACATTTTGTACGTGGCCATAGCATTGGCAGCCGTAATAAAAAAGTCAAAAAAGGCATCATTTTTCATATACTCGTATACGCGCAAGCAACGTACTTGAAAAATTGTTGAATTTAATAAAAGGATATTGTAAAAATGAAATCGTTGATATTCATCATGTTTTCGAGAAAGCCAATGACAGCAACTTCTGAAGGTTTCCATTTTTTCTAGTTCTTGTATCAATAACGATACTAACCATCGTGTATTTAGTGTAGCCATTGAAACAGCCTATGCTGATAACTTGGAAAATTGCTGCGCTAATCCTGGTATATTGTTATACTGCAGCAGTTCTATATTTTGCAGTTGTCACACTTATAAGTTTTGAAGAATAAATAAATTCGATATACAGTTACAAGTGTATTGAGAGAATGTTAAATACAAACTTCTCTTTTTCTGAATTTATATAAACTATTATATCCTTACCTGCTGTGTTTACCGTATTTATATAATTTTTTTTGCTATAGTCTACACTATTTCCAGACAAGATTCGTTCAAGAGGATGTAGAATTCCTGTATATTTAATTAAACGTGCTATTTAAAATCCCTTTTTATTATCCAATTTGCAATGAGCATTAGGGTATATTCTGCATTTGTTATCGACGATGACAATTTATCATGCTACGCTAATACGATTTACCAATGTTTACCGATTATAAATAAAAGCGACTTGGTGGTTGGGTACATAGCGATAGTTACTAAGACTATGAGCAACTGCGTCCACAACTACAAGCGCAATTCTATAAATTTGTCGCTCCAACAGTATCTAAGTTACAATAAAAATGATGTTGCTAATAAATTACTTTATAAAATTTTCTATTAAAATACGATATTGTGGTTAACATTTTCTTAATATTTATCGCGATTATCCTGATGTATCTCATTTATAATAAAAATAATTTTACCAATAAATTACTCTAGTAAAATACATTTTTTCAGTTGATATTCTCTCAATATTTATCACAACTATCCTAACGTATCTCGTAATGTTGATCTAATCTAGGCGATTGTTGCTGCATCCTTAGGGATAGCCACCTATTCCAAGGATTGTTATGAGCCATGTGTGGTATGCATAACATATACACTATCAACATATGTTGCATAAATTGAACGTAAATTTTCCTTCAATGCCTTTTTCCTGATCTAACTGATTGCGTTTATGTACACTTTTACTACTAGGCTAAGGCACATGTAACGTTTACTATTATCAGCTTAATTACATTAATTGGAGGATTTGTTATCTTGGCCATCAATTTTGTGAATCTTGGCTTACCTTCATCCCATCCTTCTAATCAATATGACAACAATCAACCTCCATCAACCAGCAGCGTTGCAATTAATGCAGTGGTAGCAATATTCTATGTGTTCTTCTTCTGCGTTTTTATCCATTGTATAGTGGTATACTGTCGTATTCCAAATACATTAATAGGACGTGATAACACTTCCCTACCAGTAAGTAAGAATTTTATAACAGCAGAATTACTAGTTATCAGGTTGCGCAGAGCTAGAAAAGCTATTCATGATAGTTTTTTAATATGATTTGCTTTCACTTCTAGAATCATTTTCTTTATTGATTGAGCTTGTTTGCTTACATAGGTGCAGCTCACGCAGGAAGGAGTGATCTTTGGAACTGATCAAGAATATAATTTTTATCATCCAGATGTTGACGATGTCAAAGTTTAAGTCAATGATTGGCATTTTTATTCGAGTACTGCATATGCTATTAATGTGCAGCATAAAAATTACCTCTATTACATTGGCTTCGTACCTACAGCAGTATAAAATAAAATTCAATATTCTGCATATTGTATGCAAAGGGTGAACTTATACTTCATTTTAAAATTATTGTTAAAATATCTTCGTAAAAATGCATCCGGATAATCGTTTAGCATTTCGCTATGAGATGGGTCGAAATTACGAATGATGGATAACCAAACTCCACCAGGTTGTATTGTAGCAAAAGAAGTGAATCTATTTGCAATAGATGAGTATTTTCGACGAAATCGACGCGTATATTGGACAACATTATTACAATTTAGAAGAAACAAAAGTATCGATGATTGCTAGATATTTTACTAAGCGATTACCGAAAACTATTCTGTCTATGTATTAATGTTTTACAAGACGATAAATAGACTTGAGTCAGGATAATATATTATCATCAATGTCTTAAGTATTGCGTATATCAACATTATGAATGATATCTGTAATGCCTACATTTAGGATTACAATAGAATCTAAAGTAAATGTAATAACCCTTATCAAAATAATACCGTAAATAAATTTGATGACCCATATCAAATGCTACAATGTGGTTAATTGTGCAAGTCGAAATATGATAGTATTTCCAAGAATCTCTAATGCAATAAGTTTCCTATCGATTCAATACCGGCTACTGGTAGAACGCAGATAATTATAATTCAAATACTGTGATCAAAAGTAATGATTCAAAATATAGTCAAAATAATATACTTTCGAAACCAGTTTTAAAGCAGTGAACGTCTAACCGATTCAACATTGAATGCCCTCCGGGTGCGAATAACTGCAATTAGCATTCTATTATAAGAATTGTCGATTTTATAAGGCATCACTCCCAAAATATCTCCATTTATACAGTACGAGATTTCAAAGTGCCATCAGCGTAGACAGGGATTTCATTTCTGATAAACCTTTTCAATATCTTCATAATTTTAATTAGCCGATTATTATGTCTTTAGGCTGAATGCTTTAACAATTCTATTGCATACTATTAGCTGTATTCCTGTTTGTTACTCATGATCAATGTCCTATGAACAGAACTGAAGGTGCATCTCTGCTATAGCTGATACAATAACATCGGTAAAGTTTATACTTCAGATTTTAGAAGATTAGAACTTGAATCAAATTAATTTTTGTATCATCAACCCCTTAAGAACCATTGGCTAGCATAGTACTCTTTTATAGCAGCAACATAAATAGTTCAATCTTTAGCAATGCAACTTTACTCTACTAGAATTCTTACCATTTCCTTGGATATTTTTGTTTTATCTCGTTGATGAGCATTCGTTTTGCTTCACTTTATTACCTTACCGTTGGATATACCAGAGCAATTTAAGTGAAGGAATTACTTTCTATGGTCGTCCAATGTCTTCAAGATTTTCATTGTCTGGAAATTATTATTATTCTATAATAATGAGCGGTTTATATACCGAACGGCTTGTAGATTTGAATGTCTATGGAATATTGATACCATGTCCAAATAGATCACGATAAGCATAATCGTTCATCCTAGCCGTTAGCATTTTTACCCCTTTCGAAATAGCAAAAACTATTCAGCCTTACTGATTATAAATCACCTGAATTTAATCGTGAGAAGATACGTTTAGGATAATATCAATAGACAATTCCGCTTGCAATCTTTCTTAGCAAATCTAAAGAACTTTTATATCATGATTTTCTTTACTATTTCTAAAACAGCAGAGCTTTGAAAGTTGTCAGACAATACTTTCCTAGCGGAAATACAATACATTTCTCTATAACACTGAAGCACTATGAAACTTGATCAAGATTAGCCGTTGATAGCATTTTCATATTTCGGATAATTTATTGAAAATCTTCGATGATAAACATTTGGCTATCACTATTATATTCAGTGTTACTTAAAGTTAAATGTTGCATTTCTTTAAATTTCAAAATTATTGAATTTTTGCAAAGATTCATTAAAACTATATCGGTATCTCTTAAACGTAGTTTAATTAGTAAACTCTCAAATTGGCGGATAATTTTTTGGCAAAATAATTTCGTCGATAACTTTAAAATATTCAAAAAATACCCATCAATTTTCCTTTAATTTCCTGTAATTACTCGTATGATTTAATCTTGATCAATTTCCCGGCATGTGGAACACGATAATGATAATTATTGATTGATCTAGTTTGCGTAGAATCGCATTTTAATATCTTCTCTGACAAGGACGAAAATATACTTTCTATTCTCCTATTTTTATACAGGCATGGACACTTCATGAATCTTAATAGAAAACAGTTCCTGAAGATTCTCCACATTACCTAG